AACAGAATAGAATCATCAAACACTTAGCCATTGTTGTGTCATTTAAACAAATAATTTATTAAACTAATGTAAATGTACTATTCCAAAAGATTGAAACAGACGCAAAGCTTCCAGACTCATTCTATGAAGCAAACATCATCCTGATACCAAAACCAGGTAAAGATATAACCAAGAAAGAAAACTACAGGCCGATATCCTTGATGAATATAGATGCAAAAATCCTCAATAAAATATTAGCAAACAGAATACAACAGCACATATGTAAGATCATTCACCATGATCAAGTGGGATTCATCCCAGGGATGCAAGGTTGGTTCAACATATGCAAATCAATAAATGTGATCCACCATATTAATAAAATCAAACACAAGGACCATATGATCATCTCTATTGACGCCGAAAAAGCATTCGATAAAATCTAACACTCATTCTTGACAAAGACCCTTTATAAATTAGGTATAGACGGAAAATATCTCAACATAATTAAAGCCATATACAATAAACCCACGGCCAATATCATCCTGAATGGGGAAAAACTAAAAGCTTTTCCTTTAAGAACAGGAACCAGACAAGGATGCCCACTCTCACCACTCCTATTCAACATAGTTTTGGAAGTATTAGCCAGAGCAATCAGAGAAGAGAAGGAAATAAAGGGCATTCAGATTGGAAAGGAGGAAGTCAAACTGTCCCTGTTTGCAGATGACATGATCCTATATATTGAACAGCCCAAATCATCTATTAAAAAACTCTTAGAGGTGATAAAAGAGTTCAGCACAGTAGCAGGATACAAAATCAACACACAAAAATCAGTAGCATTTCTTTTCACCAATAGTGAACAAGCAGAAAGAGAAATCAAGAAAGCCTGCCCATTCACAATAGCCACCAAAAAAATAAAATACTTAGGAATTGAACTAACTAAGGATGTGAAAAATCTCTATAATGAGAAGTATAAACCACTCCTGAGAGAAATTAGAGAGGATACAAGAAGATGGAAAGACATCCCATGCTCCTGGATTGGAAGAATCAATATAGTGAAAATGACTATACTACCCAAAGTTATCTACAAATTTAATGCAATCCCCATTAAAATTCCTATGACATTTTTCTCTGACATGGAAAGAACTATACAGTCATTTATCTGGAATAACAAAAGACCACGAATAGCCAAAGCAACGCTGAGCAAAAAAAATAAAGCTGGAGGTATTACTCTACCTGACTTTAAACTATACTACAAAGCTATAATAACCAAAACAGCATGGTATTGGTATAATAACAGAGACTCTGATCAATGGAATAGAATAGAGCACCCTGAAATCAACCCACGCACTTACTGCCATTTGATCTTCGACAAAGGCATTAAGTCTATTCACTGGGGTCGGGACTCCCTCTTCAGCAAAGGGTGCTGGGATAACTGGTTATCCATTTGCAGGAGATTGAAACTAGACCCACATCTCTCACCATTTACTAAAATCAACTCAAAATGGATTAAGGATTTAAATATACACCCTGAAACAATAAAACTTATTAAAGAAAATATAGGAGAAACCCTTCAGCAAATAGGGCTGGGCACAGACTTCATGAATATGACCCCAAAAGCATGGGCAACCAAAGGAAAAATAAACAAATGGGACTATATCAAACTGAAAAGTTTCTGCACAGCAAAAGAAACAATTAACAGAGCTAAAAGACAGCCAACAGAGTGGGAGAAAATATTTGCAAAATACATATCTGACAAAGGACTAATATCCAGAATATATAAGGAACTCAAACAACTTTACAAGGAAAAAACAAGCAACCCAATTAAAAAATGGGCAAAAGAGCTAAGTAGGCATTTCTCTAAAGAAGATATGCAAATGGCCAACAGTCATATGAAAAAATGCTCAACATCACTCAGCATCCGGGAAATGCAAATCAAAACCACACTGAGATACCATCTCACCCCAGTTAGGATGGCTAAAATCCAAAGGACGCTGAACGATAAATGCTGGCGTGGTTGCGGAGAAAAAGGAACTCTCTTACATTGTTGGTGGGAATGCATAATGGTGCAACCCCTATGGAAAATGGTTTGGAGGTTCCTCAAATAGTTGCAGATAGATCTACCATATGACCCAGCTATCTCACTGCTGGGAATATATCCAAAGGAATGGAAATCATCAAGTCGAAGGTATACTTGTTTCCCAATGTTCATTGCAGCACTCTTCACAATAGCCAAGAGCTGGAATCAGCCCAAATGTCCATCATCGGATGAGTGGATATGGAAAATGTGGTATATCTACACAATGGAATACTACTCAGCTATAAAAACGAATGAAATACTGCCATTTGCAACAACATGGATGGACCTTGAAAGAATAATATTAAGTGAAACGAGTCAGGCAGAGAAAAAGAAGTACCACATGTTTTCACTTATTGGAGGGAGCTAAAGGTGAATGAATCATCACACACGTACACACACACACACACACACACACTCTCACACACACACACAAACAAACAAACAACAACAACAACAACAACAAAACAAAAAAACCGGGGGGGGGGGAGAGGAAGACATAACAACCACAATTTTTTTTGAAGTTCTTACAACAAGAAAATGGAGGGGACACACCTGCGTGGGAGGGGGGAGAGGGAGGAGGGAGGGAGGTTTCGGTGATGGGACACAATAATCAACTACATTGTATATTGACAAAATAAAAATAATAATAATAAAAAAAATCCTGATGCATTTAAAAAAAAATTGTGGGTTATATCCATTCACTTTGATTGTGCTTTATTTTTACTGGATCCCTTGCAAAATAAGGAAGTGGAATGAAATACCCCTTGGAAACCTGTGAAGAAAAACTTTTAAGGTTGTGGATGTGAATGCAAATCTTATTTGCCATTTGTTTTGGTCAATGTCACCATTCGTGTTGCTTTCTCTGTGTAATTCCCTGCAAATTCCTCACCATCTCCATTTCTGAAAGAGGAGGATGATAGGAGACAGGAAGCACATGGATTTTCAAGTGTTTCTTGGAGAGGGAGGAAAAAAAAAAAAGAAAGAGGAGAAAGAGGCTATATTCATTTGTCCCTGTCCTTTTGCTTCCCTCCTGTCTCCATCCTCTAAAAATGGAAAGGAAAAAGATCTTGGATAAGAACAATATTCAAAGATTTTTCTATTCCTAGGAGCATCTAGAAAAGATTTCCTTTAAATAGCGAGGTTTTCTTGTGTATGGGCCATCGCATGTGCCCATTCCTATAAAGGAATATTCAAGAAGAGAGTACCCAGGGAGCTGAGGAAGTTCTCAGTGTCCATGTGTGCATGTATTTGGCCCGAGCTAAAAATGTGGTTTGAATTTTTTATGTTCCTTAGGATACCTGGATGTAAGTATTGCAAATTAAAATTTCATAAGTATCCACCCCCACCTCTAGATATAAGTGGGATGCAAAGTGAGTACAAGGAATCCAGCCAGGTGTCATTAATCTTGCCAGTATAGTATCTCATCTACAAAGCCCACGGCTAAGCTACAGAGAGATAATTGAAAATAGATAGGAAAATACTTCCTGACTATTGACTGATGTTTCATGTCTTACCTTGAATTGAATGCGCTTTAGAAGGTTGAACTGGTTTGCATACATTTTGAGATATTCCAGGAATTGAGAATTTGGTATATAGTTTGGATAATCTTCTGGGAATGGAAAGTCTGAGTAACAAGACATCTCCTTGCAGCTGTTGGACACCACAGACTTGTAGAGACTGGCTCTGCCTTCTTCAACATGTTCCTGTACAAACAATGCACACACAATGGGTGTCAATATTTTAGAAATTTTAAATGTTGGCCAAGCTTAAGGCAATCCAGAAGATATATGCTACTTGCCACCTTTCTAGTGGGATTGGCTATTCTGCTTAGGAGATAATGAACATTGGACCTCAGTATGAATTCTATGATCAGAATTACTATTTTGTCCATCACATGCTAACAAATAAACCTGGGATGAACTCACCTCTTCAGATTTGCACAGTATTGCTGCAAAGTACAGGAGAATATGGAAATAGATGAGACCCAGGAAGTAGTATTTGGATGATGGACCCTTGCTAGGTACTTTGGTTTCATGGGGTACTCTCGAAATGATTATGGAGAAGAGGGGCTCAGATTGTGAAGGGTCTTGTATCCAAAGTTGAGGAATTTGGATTTTATAGGAAGGTAACAGCAAGCTCCTCAATGTTTTAAACATGGAAGTGATTCATATTAAATTTTGAAAAGATTATTTTTGTTCTTCATAAAATGAATTAGAGGAAGCTGGAAAGAAAGGAGGCTTTAGTTAGGAGCCTAAAACAGGAATCCACTTGAATGCTTATGAGGGTCTGAGCAGAGGTGTAGACAGTTGGAACCCACAGAGGTGAGATTCATGAGATGGCAGAAAGGTAGTACGTACAGGATTAGGATACCAATTGCACTTAGGGATTGGGAAAGGAAGCAGAGTAAAGGTTTCCAGACTGAACAGCTGTGTGCATGACAAAACACTAATGAATTTCCTATGCCCAGTTTTGACTCAAATAACTGGTAAATATCAACATCTCATAAGACTATCACAAAGCTGAATAATAAGCAGTTTTAGTAATGTCTTTAATATACATTGTCTGTATCTTTTGGGTGGTATTATGGAAGATTGTTGTTGTGACTTCAACGAGAAGGTCCTTACTATTTTAATATTATTTTATGATATGTATAGTTCCTTTTTCTTGTGAAATAAAAATTATTTATTTATGTGAACAAGCGGAAACATGAAAATAGACCTCACATATGGAGAGGGTTTACTTCAAAGGGTATGAATCTAGATCTGCTTGAAATGTATAGCAGTCATAGGGGATAAAATTATAAACATATCTCTGTGGTTTAAATTAATGTTACTGATATCACCAACTGATATGAGTTGACAACGACCCATTTATTTGTGGCGTCATATCAGACAGCCCCACTTATCTAGAATACAGCTAGAAAACTGGAAGCTAAAAGGCTTCTGAGAAAGGTGACTATATAAATCTTGATCTTTTATTCTGCTGGAAAATCTAAAGCAGTGCTAACCACATGCCATCTGCCAGAGGAATACCGATGTGAACTGTCTGTTACCAGTCTGTGGTAAGATAAATACAGGAATTGCGAGTAAGCATTTAGCGACTTTAATAGGAACAATTTGACGTTGCTCAGTATCCAAGCATGTAGACTCCTTTTTGCTAAGCAGGACATAGATCAGTCAGTCTTGGTTTGTCTAATTTGTGTGATGAGTTTCACGGAGTTTGAACTGTGTGCTAGCCATGTGCAGTAGGGCTGCATTATGATGTGTGATGTTTTAAGGGTAGTGTGAAAACTGTTATCCCAAAGTGCATAAAATCTGGAATCATTTTTTTTCATTGAAAGATAATTTATATTTACCCATAAGCTTACAGGATAAATTATTGGAACTGGCTACTGATAAATGATTGAAGATAAATTTTAAAAATACAGCATCACTTGATTCATTTGGGATAGCAGTTAAGGAAAAAAAAATAATGGCCTGAACTTACTGAGATTGCTTTAAAATCTCTTCTTCCATTCCAATCAACAAACCTCTGTGAGCCTCGTTTCTCTACTTTGAGAGCTATTAAGCAATACTTAGAAATAATTCGATACACATTATTCCCCGAGAAGAGCGCTGTCATCTATCCAATCCAGATGAGCAAACTAACAAGCAAGAAGCAAGCTTAGCCATCAGATTAAAAATCTTAGCTAGTCACATAAACAATGTCTATTCAAAGTATGCCTACAGGTGTTTAACATGTAGAACTGCTATTTCATACAAAATGTTTTAATTGTTTCCCAAAATGTACACGTTTAATGGTGCATCTTTATATTAATTGCCTATTGCATACTTTCAAAGAACAGTGTGTTCATTTTCTGTAATTGCTTTCTCTAATTTATATGTTGCTGCTTTAATGACATTCATTGAAATTAATTTTATAACTTCTGACTATACAAATGTTGAACTTATATTTTGTAAATTTTTCTTTGTGCCATTTTATTTTTTCTATTAATTCATTTTTATTATAATTGATAAACAATAGTCTGTAATTAATTGGAAAATTTAAAAAAATTGGTTGTTTTCCACAGTGTGAGAGGCATAGCTCTTTAGACCAGTGCTTCTTAACCTTGTTAAGAATTGCCTGGGGAATCTTAACAACATGTAGATGCTGATTCAGTAGGTCTGGGTGAGCCTGAGATTCTGCATTTTTAAGAAGCTCCCATGCAGATGCTGCTGGTCTGTGGACCCTACTTTGAGTAACAAGGCTTTAGAGCAGCACTGCCCAATAGGAATAGGATAGAAGCCACATATGCACGTTTAAATTTTCTGGTAACCACATTAAAAAAGTGAAAAGAAACAAGTAAAATTAATTGTAAGAGTACATTTTATTTAACTCAGTATGTCTAAAATATTATAATTTAAACATGTAATCAACATAAAAATTATTAATGAGGTATTTTACACTCTTTTTCTTTTTACTAAGTCTTCAAAATCTTGTGTGTGTTTTAAACATATTTAGTCAAATGCTAAATTTTCACTGGAAAACTGGTGATTCACATACCCAAGTGGATCCAAATATACTGAAATGTTCTACAATAACTAAATTGAGTTCAGAATTAAACTTAATTATAATTAAATGAAATAAAAATTTCAGTGCCTTGGTCGTACCAGTTACATTTCAAGAGTTTCATACCTATGTGTGGCTGGTGGCTACAGGATTGGACAGCACAGTTTTAGAACATCCTTAGATCTGAAAGTAGGTATTAGAAATGAATATAAAGTTGATTTGGTTTAATTAAAACAGTAATCCGGTTTCCTCTGGGTTATAGGAATAAAGAGGAGAGCTATAAAGAGCTATGATGTTAAGTGAGTGCAAACAGCAAGGGAAGAATGCAATACATTAAACACCCTTATCTGCAGTTTCACGTGCTGCAGTTGCAGATACCAGCTGTCAATAGCAGTCTGAAAGTGAGGGAGTACAGTAAAATAAGATATTTTGAGAGAGAGAAACCACATTCACATCACTTTTATTAAAGTATATCATCATAATTGCTCTATCTTATGATTACTAATTATTATTAATCTGTTACTGTATTGTCTAATTTATAAATTAAACTTTACCATGGGTAGGTACATATAGGGAAAAAACATACTATACATAGGGTTTGATACCATCTGGTTTCAGGCATCCACTGAGGGTCTTGGTATGTATTTATTCCCCGTGGATAAGGAGGGCTACTGTACAAGCAGAAAAACATCAAATATAAACATTTTGGGATCAATGAGTATAGGGCCAAAATTCCCTCACTCTTCTCTGGTGTCCAAGAACATCACATAGTAAATAACACTTTATTGTTAATATTGTCAGTTTCTAGTAACTAACACAGGGCTAACTTTGACACACATCCACACACATCCACACACTCAATAGGGTAACTTCAAAAAGTTCATGGAAAAATAGAATTAAAAGGTAATATGAATCTTTCTATGAACTTTTCGTAGTACCCTCATGAGTGTGTGTGTGTGTGTGTGTGTCATGTGTGTACTGTTTAAGGGGTTTTTATGTGCATACTATACTTTGTAAAGATTTCCATAGAAATAGTTCAAAGAATTTAAAGCAGTTGTAATTGCGTGTTTAAATATCAGAGAATAATGGAGACTCTTTTGGAACAGGATAAGCCAGGGAACCATGTATTTTATGAGATCTTAAAGGAAATGAACAAACAAACAAAACAAAAGGGAAAAAAACACCTCCTTTTTGCAAAACTTAGGAAGATAATTGTAAAGGCAAGAAGAAGAAAAGCTTCCAGGAAGCACTGAAGCCTGCTGTGAAGTAGTGTGTCACAGATGTTGGCCGATGAGAAGCTGCGGATTAGAGAGGACATGCAGCCCTTAGGGTGAAATCCAAGACCAGCTCTGTGCTCTTGTCACTCTTTCCCCCTATGGATAGTTTCTCCTGGAAAAATTCAAGGTCTGGATTTTTAAGCATATATACAGAGAATATGGGCCCACGCCACTTCTGAATGGGATTTGTGGTCCTATGCCCTCCCCTAGTGTTTGCCTCAGTGTGCAATCTGCCCCTGTGATTCCCAGGCCCTGCAGACCACCCTCCCCCAGCCACAGACACTCTTGTCATTGGCCTCGTGTGGTTCTGCCAACTGTCCTGCCACTCTGAGTGTGGAAGAATATGCCCCCTGAGAATTGGTGGGGCCACTTAGGGGAATATTTTTGTTCTCAGAGCAGAAAGAATGACTGAGAGTGGAGAAGAGGAGAGAGGGTGACTGTGGAGAGAGGGAGAGGAAAAGAGCATGAGTGGAGAGCTTTCTGGCATTTTAGTCCACTTAGGGCCTGAAGCCCAGTGGGAAGGTCACCATCGCCCACTGGGGAGTTGCTGGCACTCTGTGAGCCACAGTCCCGGATTTGCCAGATTCATGAGCTGTGAAACAGGCTCTGGAAATGCGTGGAATGTTGTTCTTGATAATGCAGGCTCCAGAGTCAGACTGCCCGGGTTCATACTCAGGCTCTACATTTTAGCTGGGCGATCTTGGAAATTTTCTTTTTTTTCTTTTTTCTTTTTTTTTTTGTCTTTTTCCGTGTCCGGCAACGGTTCGCAACCCTCAGTGTCGCGCCCGTACCGGACCAGGACCGGCAACGGGATCGCAACCCTCGGTGTTGCCCCCGCGCCTCGCTCAGCCAGTGAGCGGGAACCGGTCTGTATGTGGGATCCGAA